CAAATGTTTTTTCGAATGGAGAATGGTTTCAAAAAATTGTAGATAAATTATAGAATTCAAATCAATTGTCCGTTTTCAAATATGTCTGCCCGTTCGTTCGATATCGGGACGAGTCATGAAAATTGGTCCAAAATCGGTAATACTCAAATCTTGGCCCCAAATCGAACTTTCCACAAACTAAATCTTTTTTCTATTGTTTCTAGGGTCCATAAAATTGTAGAAAAAATGTAGAATTCAAATCAGTCGTCCGATTCTTGATATTTTCAACAACTTTTTTGACAACAGCAGTGTTTTGTTTTTGTAGGGAGAAAAAATGCTCCAAAACTGGTCCAAACTGTTTTATTAATTGTAGTGACCTAAAAATAATTGTAGAAGCACCTACGGTTATTGTAGTGACCCAAAAATAATTGTAGAACCACTACAATAACCGAAGGTAGTTCTACAATTATTTTTGGGTCACTACAATTAAATTCCGACCACTACAATAACCGTAGGTGCTTCTACAATTATTTTTAGGTCACTACAATTAATAAAACAGTTTGGACCAGTTTTGGAGCATTTTTTCTCCCTACAAAAACAAAACACTGCTGTTGTCAAATAAGTTGTTGAAAATATCAAGAATCGGACGACTGATTTGAATTTTACAATTTATCTACAATTTTTTGAAACCATTCTCCATTCGAAAAAACATTTGATTCATGGAAAATTCGTTTTTTGACCAAGATTTGAGTATCCCCATTTTGGAGCGGGTTTTCGATAGCCGATTACTCAAAAAAATTATTCCTACATAAAAAAAGTAAATACACTACATTAAACTACATAAAATCTACAATTGAAATCGCCCTACCCGAAGACATTTCGGCAAATTTGCCAAGATTTGAATATTCATCTTTTCCACTATGCACCAAAACATGTACAAAAATCGAATTGCGCTGTGGATGAGCACAATTCATGCATATTTTCTTTCTCCTTCCCCTTATCGTGGCCCATTCTCTCATTTATGCCCAATCGTTTTTACCACAATGATACATTGTAATATGCTGGCGTGGTCACAAGTAATTTTTCCATTCTTTGATTTTTCTACCTCTTCCATTGTGGTGTTGCTTAAACGCTTAAACTGGCGCGCACTGCTTCGGTCGTGAAATTCTTTGATACTGTTTGAATCGCCGTTGCCACCTGTTACAATTCAATATACATATTCACAGGCCAATTGAAAGGCTTCACAAGACATTTATGGTGAATTAACTATAGTGGTATACCATTCGCTCTCTCTCTCTCTCTCTCTCTCTCTCTCTATCTTAGCTTCGTTTTCTTTGCTTCCATTCTCTGTTGTGTGACTCTTCAATGTTCTTCGTCAATGCAATTCAAGTCTATTTCTCTTTCATTTTTGCTTTCGCTATTTCTATCGCTCCTTTTCTTGCCCTTTACCCATCTCTCGATCGATGACCAAATCAACTCCTGAGAATAATTTCTTCGTTCAATTCAATGCATCTATCGATTGCTGTTCAACTACTTGTTCCTTCTTTTCGCTGTTGAATATTCTACATTTTTGCCAATTTGACTTTTTCGTCGTTGATGCGTTTTTTTCCTTCGTCAAAGCAATCGACATCGTGGAAAGTACGATCTGCATGACATGTAGCCGCAAACTGATTGAAATGGGAATGCATTTTGCGTTACATTTGAGAACGGATTGTGCAACGTATTGTACGATCATCCACAAATCAAATTGAATTATTCGATAATCACCTTGGCGCTGCAGAGATAGAGAAAGAGAGAAACCTGTGCACAGGTTTTCGCTCGTGCCCATTAATATTCCAGTTAATTTATTTTTATGCAAAATATGCGGCATTCGATCGTAGTGACTTCTTTTTCAGACATTCATCTTCTTTTTGTGTCACTATTCATTTTATCTCCTTCGCCAGTTTCTTCATTCAAAATAGAACCAGAAATAGACAAAAGGTAGAACGGGTAACGAAACCAAAAAGAAACCGCTGTCTACATTTGTTTCAAGTAGAATTCTTCGTTTCAGTTTTGTGTGTTTCTCTTTCGTTTCCCTCTTTCTCTCGTTTAAATCTATCAATCTGTGTTCATGTCCCTCACACAGAGGGTTTTTCCCATTCAATAATTAATTCATCTTTCCATGTGTATTATCTCTCTCCCTCTCTTTCGCTTATTTCTTATTTTTATATGCATAATTCCATAGAGTTATACACAAGAAACGCTGAAAAAAAAAATTCGTTTTAAAAATAGAACAAATTATTAAATGCCGTTGTCGATTTAAAAGTGGCTGCGATAATGATTTTCGATCATGTTAGTTTAACAAATGCTCGGGCGCACTGCTACCATCATCGTCGCAATCAAATCGAGAGTGTTGTCTTATTGTTCGTGGCGCTTGAAATGTGAGTTCCACAAACAACAACAACAATAACAACGACAACAACTAAAAAACCTAGACACACAAATCGAATTGAAATTGATGTGCGCGCCCGCGACCAAATCATTTTCGATATATGTGAGACATCACGAAATGCGAAAACATTTCTTGGAATTGGTTGTTTATTCGGCTATGATGAATTTCAACCAGAGAGTACTTATTTTCGACGTTCCATTATCGCTCGTACGAATTTCACACAAACACCTTGCTCGATTCATTCAGTTTTGTTGGCATTTTCGGAATTGCCTTTTCACATTTCTAAATAGCTATAAAATAATGCATGAAATCAAAAATACAATCTTGGTTTCTCCCGAACCATGATTCATCCGAGATGATTTCCACAGAAACGGAACTAAACAAATTGAAATAGTTTCTCAAAATAGATAAAAATAAACAATAAATTTCCATTGAATAGCCGAGTTTTCCCAATTTTCAAAATTATATTTTCACATGCAATGTCAATTGCATCCGATCCGAAAAACGCGTTTGTTGCTCATAGTTTTGTTTCGATTATTGCAAATTGCGAAATACGATCGGTCTCTCTCTCTCTCTCTCTATTGGAAGCTGCTAAATGGATTTGTGTGTTATTTAAGAGGAAAAAAATGGCAAATGAATGAATACAAAAAAAAACACTCATGTTATGTCGTTTTTTTTTCACTCTCTCAATGTTTTTGACACATTTTCCACATTATCTATTAACTTGTTGAATCTTGTGGCTGCTACAGTTGTTGTGCAATGACAGCAACATTCAATATGAAATGTGTAAACGTTTTCCTTCGCTTCAACTCAATCAACACGGTCTGCTACTTGTTTACACACTCTCTCGAACAAATGCGCTTTTCGCTTGGCTCTTGCTCTCGCTTTCTGCGCGTAGAAACAAATGCGCGTATTTGGATACGCGCCGTGGAAAAATAAATCACCGTCATCATGCCATATCATCATTTTTGAAGTGTGTGTATGTCATGCTTAGTGCCAGTGATACTGAGAAGCTCCATACACAGAGGCTCGAACAAAAAATCACAAATGCACCGTGCAAGTCCGCGTGCACTCGAAAATAAACAAACAAACGAACGAATGCACGAAACAAAAAGATATTATTTAATTGTGACGACGATAAAAATCGTTAACACATCGAAAAGAAAAACAAATGATACATACCACAAGAGTGCAATATGCGAATACACAAATCGAAATCGCAAATCGACAAGTAAAAATTCAGAAGCTACACGGCGTGCATTGAGAAAGATCGATGAGAAAAACGAAGGAACAGCACACATATGTTTATACATATACAAAAAAAACAACAACAGAACGAAAAACACACACACAGAGAGAGAGAGAGAGAGAGAAAACCACGCACACCGCATGCATACAGAACACGAAAATAAACTACTTTATTCAATGCTGACACATTAGTGTCAATTATTATTAATTTTCCTCTCTTATAAACAGTCGAGTGCAAAAAAAGGCTCACGAAATTGAATCAACAACAGTTCTGCCACAACGTCACTGTTTAATAATCAATAAATGCTTTACAATCATTATATTTCAATTTTTTTTCCCAATCGATTGTTGTTGTCACCTTTTTGATTTCGCATGTGTGTGCTGTGTATGTCGTTCGGGAGTCTTTTTGTTCTGTTGCGCTGCTACTGGTGCTACTTGTGCCTGTGCATTGCATAATAATCTTTCCATATAAGTCATAAATGTGCACACATTGGTCACCATATAATCCACAAGTGTTTGCGTTTTGGTGCTCTTGTGCTGTCACTCTCGCATTATGTGTGTTGTGTGCATGATTCAATCTACAGATCAGCGCATGTTAAAAGGGAATAAATGTCATAGTTATGTGATTTCATCGATAGTTACATTCAATTATCCAATATCTGGTCACAGGTGCACAACATCATCAGCACATTGATGTTGTTGGTTTTGAATGTCAATTTCGTGTATATGTTGTCCTATCGCAAATCGATTATCGTCTTGCCTATCGACAGTCGACACTCCCGACTCTCTGTTGATTTGACTATATATCGGCAACGGTGCAAATTGAATGAACGATGAACTGAATCTATTGACATTTTCGATATACAATTTTATTGGCTCACCTGTTGAACGGCATTTCGTCTAATAACTTCATTTCTCCATTAACTCATTTATGAAAATTTGTGTATTTTATTCTTGTCTTAATCGCTTTTTTCCCCGTTTCAAATTTTATGGGCGATTAGAATCGTGGCGTGATGCCGCTTTTATTTTCGATTTTTGTTTCACTGTTGTTGTTGGTCTTTCTTCCATGTTTATCTTGTTATTGGCCGAAACGAAGAGACTGTCACACACATAAATATATAGGATCTCGGTAATCATTTTCGTTTCTATGAAAAATTAAATGAAACTTGAAAGACTGCCGCGCATACATTACGATATCGCATGCGATCATCAGTCAAATGATGCTTTTTAGCAGCCGAAAATGAAATACAACACACACACACACACTCTCTCTCTCTCCCACCTGCCATTTTAATGAACTTAAGCTGATCAACACCAAAAATCTTTTCTTATCTCATTTCAGCAATCATCAAATCGTCGTGTTTGTTTCTTTCATTTGTTGCATTTGTGCGAAATTGCCACCACCAAATACACCAAAAACTCCTAGCAAATCTAACAAAAATGGAAGCCGGAATCAGAATATTACTTGGAATTCTCTTCATAACAACGACTATCGACTCAGCTTTAACCCACGAAAGTATAAGTAAGTACAAACGATATTCGATCCAGTTTGCAGCGGAAACGCCGCATTCATTTTAGACACCAGAGTTTTGAGCCCATTCAAAAGTGTTCACATGTGAACAGTCAATGCAAGTGGTGATCACATGATGACCATAATTTTGAATAGCATAGGTTGTGTGTACTTTAAAATTGGTTATGTCTCTCACTTATCAAACTGATCTGGCCAAAATACAGAATCGGATACGATTTTGATTAACATGGACGCGCGCGTGGCCATTCTTGACAAGTTCAACATGTAAATGAGCTTAGATATTAATTCTGTTATCGAAATCGTTACGAAACGAATTGGATACATACAAGCAAAGAAGGCAGCATGAGCAGCAAGCGACAAAGGCAATGTGGAATAAAAATACACATACTGATGCAAACTGAGTGCGCGCATATCGAAATCGAATGGAGGGAAACACACGCAGACACTTGGTGACAAATCGGCATATTTATGCTGTTGTCAAAAGTTTAAATGCACAAACCATATTTATGGTTTGACGAAAAATTATGGATTCGTTTGAAATGTTTCCGCGAGTGGTTGATTCCATTCTCTTATATATATATATATATATATATACATATTCAGCTCTGGTTTTTTTGCTGTTGGTCGTGTTCTTTCGAGGCGCATTCATCTGCACACGCATGCAAATAAGCCAATTGAAAACGGTTTGTTTATTCATTGGTGCATGGTTGTTGTTGTTTCGGTTGTTTTTTTTTAGTATGTTGTCTTGTTGCTAGAATGCATGGTGGTCCACGTCAGTTACTGCTAGGCTATTAAATTCACACAACTCGACCATTAAGTTGCATTGTGATTTTCGTGCTTCGGACACGATTACCGCCGCGCTCTCGTGTTTCGACCATCGATGCTTGCAACAAACACCGAACATGCACACTTAACTCATTCATAAATTTGGCAGTAGGAGAAATTTAATCACCGCCACATTTCAGCATCAAATTCAATTTTGTATCTCATAATTGAATTTATACGAAAGAAAAACAAGAGAAAAAAAAAATTCAACGCAAATAATGCACCATGTCAGTAGAAATTGGTATGAATTGAAAGTTACACGATTTTTAATCCATTTGATGATGGAACACACGAGTAAGCAGCACTCTAACACCATGTTCGATTTCATTCATGTAAGTGAAAACCATTTAGAAAATCTATTGAAATTTCCATAGAATTAATGCAAATCAAATTTATCGTCGAGAGCGAGAGAGAAAGAGCGAGAGTAGCATCCCCGCGCGCTCATCAGTCACCCTTTTTATTTCCACATCGAGGCAAGAGCAACAACAGCAACACCGAAAAAAATGAGCATACGCATTTATTCATATCGCATTATTATCGCTATTTTGTTTATCTAGCTGTTATCATAATTTTTCAATGAATGTTCACTGCTCTGTATATCGTCCCCGACAACACACCAACCAAAGAGCATGCCGACGAATGAGCGACCGAAAAAAAAGTGCTCGTTCAAATAACGCATTTAAACTGAAAAAAAAATGAATGAAGCCCGAAAAAAACAAAACAAAAAAAAAACACGCAACCGAATTGATTGTGAATAAAGACAAAGAGCGCGGGCGCGCGTACAGCAAGCAGTGTAATAAAGCGTTGTTAATGCCAAACAACAAACAGGAACTCTAGAAAAATCTATACGATTCATACAATAAATGCATATTATGTCGTTTAAATAAATGGGAATGTGTTGTAGAGCATTTGATGTTTGTCATTAGTTGTTTTTTAGTGGTATCTTCTTCTCTTGTTCCTTGTTTTATTTCAAATTTCGATTTCTGCTGCTGCTGCTGATTTTGCTGCTATGGTCTGAACAATTTCATTACTTTCCATCCATTTGCCATTCGTATTTATATATTTTCATTTTATTTGATCCGATTTTGGTGTTTTAGCTATTGTTACAGTTGTTGTTGGTCCAAAAAAAAAAATCCTCCCCTCAGCAACGGCATTCCACCACCGCGAACTGTTTCTATGCACGCTCCGCATGCGATTTATTCTCTATATAAATGCACATACTATTCGCATTTTCCTCGTTCGATCTTCACTCAATCTCTTCTCTCGTTGCTTCATTTCATCAACCACATGCTTCATATTTTTTTTGGCAAAACCGAAAGCAATGAGCAACACTTAACAAAATACCCGATGACAACATTTTTATGTGTCCACATCCAATTCAATTACGATGTATGTGTTTGTGTGTATCTTTCCAATTGTTCCACATGCGACTGAAGCAACATTACCATACATAAAATAAGTGGATTTCATAGTCATCATTTGCTGAGCGCATTTTTTTGTCATCTTCCAGATGAAATTTGAATACATATTTACATATTTTTCGTTGTCATTCTCTTTTCTTGGCTTAGTGAACCAGGAGAAGCACCGAACACTTGAATGAATGAATGAAGCAGTTCATTGAAAAAAAAATTTCGTTGCGAATGAAAGAAACAACAACAACAAAAAACGCGATGGTGAACATGAGGAGACAGTGTTTTACGTCCTGAATGTGACATTCCTCTCGAATGAATCGTCCTGTTTTCTTTTTTATTACATTTTATTTACCCAGCAAACGGTTTTCATTGTCATTTTCATTTACATTATGGCTCTTGGTGTATGTGTACGAAAAGAGTGTGTATTCGATGGTCGTTGTTCATAAAACAGTTTCGGTAAAACTTTATGCCAGCCAAGACGATCGTTAAAATGCCACCACTAAACGCTTATATACACAACACAATGCTCGGTCGAAGCCAGTTTTTTCTTTGGTTTATGGAAAATATCATTCAAATAAATGAAATGATAGACCATTATCGCAAGCTCACAAAAAATCTTTCTTTGAAAATGTTCGCTTTTTTTCTGAACATACACAGAGTAATACAGAGACAGAGAGAACGAGTATTTCGAAGACGGAAGCAATTTGCTGAAATTTTCATGTCGAAACATGAGGAAGTGGCATTTGATGTAAACACATCCAAATGTTTTGAGATGAAGCCAACGAAGAAGAAGAGGAAAAAGTTGCTAAGCGCCATCCACCCACCGGCTGGGAAAACCGAAATGAAAATAGATTTATCACTGGAATATAAACAACTGAGCACATAAAATACACGTAGAATGAGAAACCAACCTTGAATGCAAAAAAAAAAGTAGAGAAGAGAAGAGAATAGCACAAAGTCTTAGATTCCTTGTTGAAATAGCGAAACAAAATGAAATAAACACAGATCGAGGCAGAGAGAAAAAGAAAAGAGAAAAAAAAACGAAACTTAAACAAATAATCAAGTAGATAAATGCCATAGCGAAAGGAAAACGACCGACAAGAAAAAATAATCATAAAAATATGAAGCGAGATTCGGCAAGAGCAATCGACTTAACATACACCAAACTGTGGCAACGTGTGTGTGTTTTTGTGTTTACTTTTTACCTGTTCGAGACAGGATGATGTATTCATTTGGTTTGAATGTCGAGCGCAGGAGAGACTTGTCGGGCGAGCAAGGGACACACAGACTGAATGAGTGTGTCGAATGTGTGCACAAATGCCGAATGACAGACAAAGAGCACCGATGCTGAACGATCGAAACGAGCACACATACAAATTTCACATGTTGTCATAAAAGTGACACAAGCGAGAGCAATTGAAGCGCCAGCCTGCAAAATGTTTATCCACATGTAGTTTTCCCATCTTAATGCGGATGTATGTGTCTGGGCTGTACTCTGGCATTATTGAAAATGGTGAACAAGCAAAAACGACAAAACAACAATCCTCTCGCTTCATAAACAATCGGTGTGGCTTGAGATTTCGGTAGATTGTTTGAATAAGCGAAAAAGAAGATGATAAGAAAAAAAACCGTCTGTTTTTATGGCTATGCTTCTGCGGCTGCTGCATCTGAAACAAACACTTGACTTACCGTTAGCGTGTAAATATTTATGGAAAAATAAAATTCTGACATACAAGCACAACACTCAATGGAACATTTATTTTCACGTGCACTTTTGAGGCGAATGCATCTGCATCCGTGTAAATGCGGTCATCCTCTCGACAATCAATTCAATCCAATCATAACATAGACAAATGTTGCTGACACGCTGTTTATCGTCAAATAAACAATAAAAAATAATCAACCCAATTCATTGCTGACCGATGAGTCACTCAATCAAATGGCCGGAGCATAAGCGCCACCAAGAAAATGCCATTCGATGCAGGTGGAGGTACAAAAAAAAAACAGAAAAATGTGAATTGGTTCCTGTGAATTTTTCCTCGGTATTTTTTTTTTTTGTTTTATCCCGACAAACTCATTAAAAATATGTTTTAGACGAAACCGAAACGAAGGAGAGAGACTGAGGAAAAAAGTATCAGAGAAAAATTCCCACGTCGTCGTCGAAATGTTGTTTGATGAAGGAACAACAACGAAATATTGGGTTATTGTGCGAGTTTGCTCATGCTGAGAGCCGGACTCTTTGCATGTGTACCGAAAAAAATATGGAAGAATGATGAGATATAAAAAAAAGTGCCTTCTCATTGAACAAACAAAAGGATGTGTCACCACGATAAATGAGAAACACGGAGAAGAAAGAATAAAATTTCGGAAACGAAGAAAACAGCAAAACTCGATTCCGATTTTACACAAAAACACATACACACACAAAAAAATCCCGTTCAGTGTCAGGATGCAATGCTATGCGGTGTGTTGCTGCTTGTGTTTCGCCGTATTAATTCATTCGAAAATTCTTAACATAAACATGCAGAGAAAATGCAACGAACGCATAGAGAAGGAGGAAAAATATCTCACATCGCCAAAATGTGCGCACATTGAATGCACACACCGTGTGTGCAGTTGGCGCGCACCAACTGCACAACGAAAATCGAGACATCAAGCAAAATTCCGAAGAAAGAACTTAATTCTTTTGCTTGTGCTTATTTATTATATAGTTGCTGTTGTTGTTGTTGTTGTTTTTTTTTTCTCTTCTTTTCTTCACTCTCATCTACTTCCCAATAGAGTGTGGTGTGTATGTGTGTATAAATACAGCACATTTTTCGCTCAATTCAAACCGTTTTGCAACATTATTTGAATTCCTGGTCTACCTTTTCTTAGCAACAATGAAACGTTTTCATCGCAACAAATGGCAATTGCTGCACAGGCAAGCACAGCACAGAGCAGACACACACAAAACGATCTTAAAGAGTTGAGAAACTATAAAAATGTGGATGCTTTACGGCAATGGAATGAAAATTAATAGAAATAAAAATATAATCTAAAGAAATGCAATGGTGGTGACAATAACATAACCAACCGTTGCACATTCCGCAAGAGTGTAATGGATACGGGAATGCGTAGACAAAATAAATGTTTTCGCATTACCCATTATTGCGCACAGTAGTGTGTTTTTTTGTTGTTGTGTTGTTCCTCTCTTCTCTGCACTCGAATATAATATTGTTTTTGTTGTTCATAGAAATGAGCATGTGTGTGTGTGTGCCATCTCTCTTCTACATCACTTTCGTTTCGCACAATCCCACCAATGAAATGATGATGCTCATGCGCTCTCTCGCGACCACGGTCGAACGATGCACGATCGGAAAACAAAAATCATTCGTGGAATTTTCACATTTCTTCTTTTGATTTGCAAATGAAGTTTGAAATCCGTTTTCGACCAATTGTTTGCTTGTTGAACACAATTTATTTTATGTACGAGAGAGAGAGAAAGCACAGAGTGCTCTGCGAACGATTTTCGAATATAAAACAAATGCCACACTCTACCAATAATTATAATTTTACTGAAATTAAGCGGAACGCAGTATTTTCTACAGAAAAACACACGATTAAAGACGAGAAAAAAAACAACACTCTCAATAGAAATTGCTCAAAAAACACACAGAAAATAACAACAAAACAGCTCTTTGGCCGTAATTGATGGTCGGCGGAGGGAAGGGCGATTTTTTTGAGCTTATTTTTCTGTGGATGTTTCTTCTTTTATTGCAATTGTTAATGTGTTGATCGTGCCAATTGGAAAAATAAAAGACCACATCGAATAGAATTGCTGGTTTGATTTGGCGCAGAAATAGTTGTGCTAATACACAGCACATTGCATACAACACGTCGTCATCATCACCATCATCATGGTGATCAGCAGCAGCAGCAGCAATAAATACAAACACACACACACACCGAGTACATCAATGAATGCAATTGAAATAATTGAAAGCCTGAAACAATTAAACTTATTTATTTATACGAAATTACCAGCAAACAAGCAAGTGAAGTTGAAAAAAATCGTAATTTTCTCGTAATAATTTTTCAAGTTGTGGCATCTAAATATAGCGACCCTTATTTTCAAGAAAAACCTATCATTTTGTCGATTGAAGAGAAAGAAGGAAAAATGGACTCACATACACACACATGCGGACTTTATCCAGTGAAACAACCCATTGGATAGTGGTTATATTCCGTGCGTAAACAACTGTAACGATACTTATAGTTATTTGTGATGAAAATTGCATATTTGATCGCATAAAATATCATTTTGACCATATCAAATCAATGGAAATAAGAAAACCCTAACATATACCCAAAAATAATGCAATACGAACCGTTTATCTGAAGTAGTCAGTACAAAAGCAAGCGAAAGACAAAAAAAAACTGTTTGCAGTCAAAGAATGCGGATCTACCATAAATATGAGGAGTGAAAAGAAGTGAAAAAAAGCGTATCAATAAATTTTGGTATGTGGTGTGTGTGTGAGTACATTGTGTGTATTTGAGAAATAGCGCCGTATTATCGCACCGAATTGAAGTAAATGTTCGCGATGCTATTTCAAGTACGTAAAAAATGCGTGTGGCTTGTGAGCGCCAATCCACTTAATTAAGGTCGGTGATTTTTGTTTATGGATTTCAACTTGAAATTCCGATTAATTTCAAGACGATTCTCTCGCAAATCCGTTTTCAGCAGACGGACACACACACACACACACACACACACGCATGTTTGCTTCGGAACGGGTACATATGTCTGGTTATAATCGAAAATTCACAATGAGAAGAGAGAGAGAGAGAGAGAGAGAGAGAGAGAGAGAGAGAGAGAGAGA